CCACCTCAAAGTCCAGGTCAGCAGATGAATGTTTGGCCAGCTTCTGGGCAAGCAAGTCTGACCTCTCGGGTCTACCGCTGCCCCTGCCTGCCTCCCTTTACAGCAAGTTTTCAGGCAAGTGCAGAAGTAGCCTATTTCCTGTTAACACTTGCCAGTCTTCAAGGATTATTGCCCTAGTTCCCAACTAGTTTCTGAAATTTTCCTTCCTCTTATTCATACTGCCCTGAATTTCCATTTAGCATCCAAACAAATAATTCATGATATCGTTTACAGCAAGGTAACTCAACTTTATGTGTATATATTTTTACTCTCAAACTAGGTTTAAACCCTTGTGTAATATGTGTGGCTGTCTTTTTTCACTGGAGCATCCTCCTGTGTGACCGCCTCAATTTTTGATTCACCCTGGGGTTCTGGTCTTAGTCCAATTCTTATTTTTCATCCTCTATTCTCTTCCTGGCTGATCTCATCCACTGCAGTATTTCTGACTGCCTCCTCCACTGGGAAGATCAGCCTGAGGGCATCTCAGGCTCAGCTTATTCTCAGAGGAATAAGTTATCTTCCCCATCAACCCTGATTTACCTTTTGTTGGGTTTTCTTCTTGGTCAACAGTATCATCAATTGCCAAATTGACCAGATTGGAAACATCAGAATTATCTTCAACTCCTCCATTTTTGTCATTCCACCCATTCAGTTGGTTACAACTTGTTTCTCCCACTAAGAGAACTCAGGCCCCTCTCCTCCCTCTGAAGTTACTGCCCCAGAATAAGGAACGGCAGAAAGAGCTTGGCTTTCCTCTCATCTCTACAGATTCCTGGGTTTGTCATCTTGGACCTTTCTTAATCTCCAACGTCCTCAGTCTCCTTGGGGGGGTGTAATGTGGATGACAATATCAGTTTACTGGATTGCTTTGAGAACTGAGTGATTTAATCTCATCTGGAGATCTCACACAAGCCTGAAAAAGACAGTGACCAAGGCAGAGAATAACCTCCCTGCAAAGCTTCATCACTTCTTCCTTGTTTAGTGGCTTCCCAACTGCCCTCTCTCCTCATCCCTAACTCCAGACTCTTCCCTGTTCTCAGTTCGTGCTTCATACTGAAACCAGAGTGAACTTTCTAGAGCCCAAAATCTTTCATGATTTCTTATCACCAACGTCTTCAATGCAATCTTTCTCACTTGGTCACAGACTAATTTCTCTCTTGTCTCCATTACTTCTGTGGCCTATCGTCACCTGCCAGGATCTTCGTCTTAAAGAATGTGACTTAATCATGTTCTTAAAACATTTACCATATGTGCTCTAACCATGTTAAGACATTCAATGGTAGGAATAGAGAAGTCACAGTATGGTTGCACTTCACGTAAAGCAAAACCAGATTCAATGCACTTTTAAAAAGTAAGGCTACAACTCATTAGAAACTGATTTAAGGAAATTTATTAGCATTTACTGTTCTGTTCTTAATAGCAGCCAAAGAGTGGAACAAATAAGAATACAACTTCCTCTAGATCTTGCTGAGGCCAGAGGGAAGCAGAGAGCAGGAGACGTGGAGAGAAATGAAGCGAGGCCCACACATGGAGCTGTGGACAACTGAAAAGTTAGATTCATGAATTTAGACCTACTCCTGAAAACAAAGGAAGCAAAAATCAGTCTGACTTCTGATTTCTATTCCTCACCCACAAAAATCACTCTCCTGCTTTTGATAAGATCCCACAAAAATCACTCTCCTGTTCTCATTGACACTGACTCTCTGGGATTCACGTATGCATCTGATTCTCCATGGCCAGTCTTACCCTCTCTAAATATCAGCCTTTATAGAAAGTAAGGATGGAAATATGTAATTTTATTACTTTATTTTCTATGCACCCATATAAAGGATGCTTTAAAGTTTTTTTCTTAATTATGAAAACAATAAGCTTATCATTCCACTTCTAGGCATGTGAGAAGCTCTTAAAGTTGAGAACAATTCCTTCCTAGTCTCTCTGTCTCCTCCCATGATGTGGCCTAATGACTTGATGACTTCAAGCTTCTCATTGGGCTTTGTATGTATTGCACGAATTAAATGAAATGGCCACTGAACCAAAATAACTTAAGACAAATGATTCACAAAGAAATTCAGCCATGGAACAAATATCTATCAAAGTGACCACCATATGCTACATCTTATTCTACAGTGGGGGTAAAAAGGAGAAAGTCCATGTTTTCATGCAATGTAGATTCATATGCAGAAAACTGATAATAAACAAGTAAATAAGTAGATAAATTTCAAAAAGTGATAAAGAAAGAAATGTAATGCTTAAATCACTTGGCTATAGGAGCTGTAGATATAGTATGTGGGTTTCAAAACCATCTTTCCTAGACCATCTAGGTTTCTCTTTCATTTCTATCATGTAATCACATTGAATCCTCATCCTGGTCTCACCTTCCAGAAAGGAAAGTTGGTCAGGTCACCTGTGGTCTTTGTTAATGTTGTGCTAATTATTCTTCAGGATTCTCTAGAATGAAAACCACTAAAAACAGAGAAGCACCAAACTCCTTTTTTAGGATGCCTAGAAAATGGTCCAGTTATGCTCTTTCTCTGACGTACCAGTTTGAACAGACAGAAAAATGGTTGCTTGTGCATATGTCTCTCTTAAAAATAGCAAGAATATACTTGATCCATTTTCCATCTTACCTTTGGCTATCTCAAGATTTCTCGTCTGCCTGAGAATGGCTTTTGGCAAAATATTAGGCAAAAAATGACCACTCCATTGTGACTGTGGTATTTGCTAAGTTCTAAGAATTCAAAGACTAAAGCCATTTTTTAAAAATTGACTTGGCTACTTATGGTTGTCTATTTTAATGGAAAAATCCTTCACTTTCTTCATTTTTTCTTAGAGGTACTTTTGTCTACCTACATAAATTTATCCATTATCACTCTTTATACTAATACCTCTTAGGTTTATCTAGTACCTGTCCTCAAGAGACTTCTAGGAGTTCTAAGTACTTCGTGGTTTATTATTTGCATGTACTTATTGATAAAGATGACCCTATCATTTTGAGGGGCTTTGCATCTATTTTTGCTAATTATTTATCCATAAGCTCCATTCATCCTAGTAAAGGGCTTCATTTTGAAAATGAATAAATTGTCCCACCACTTGTACAGGGAGTGTCCATTTGAATTTTAAAGCCCTTGGATTTGTCACTGGGATGGCTGCTGCCTTCTGCTTCTAAAATGTGAGTGGTAGGTAGTTTTTGAGTGCCTCAAATGCAAGGAACTCCAATTACATAGGTCCTCAGATTACCAAGAAATCCTTTCTCTCCCAACACTGCTGAGATTTTACTTTAAATCAACAGTCAGTCTTATGTTTCAGGTAGTGACTTGTGATCCCTATATCCTTTTGGGTTTGGAAGTTTTTTTCTGACAAGGTAATAGGGAGCAGTGGGTTCTGAAGGAACAGGATTATACCATGTTCCATTAGTTCTTGGCTCCTGCCCCACCCTGTGCAGACTTCACTCTTGGCCTCTATTGCACCAATAGAAATCCTTCCTGTGAGGTGAACAATTTGAGTCCAAGAACTTTGTGGTGTTGTGCTCAATTTTAGCAGAGTAGAAGAAAATCCATCCATTGACATGTGTTTATCAAGTTTACTGAGTACCTACTATGATCATGACACTTAGTATGCTAGAAATCGATTTCTTTTAGACCTTGGTTATTGCATTATATATACTTCATATGTTCTTTGTGTTTCCTTTCCCTCTTTCATAATAATATGATGTTTTTAAGTAACCTGGCAATTACTGGTATCTGAAACTAGCACCTAAATAAATGTAATGTCCTTGATGCCTCCACACTTCAGGATTGTTCTTTTAAGTTAAGGATCTAAAAGGCAGGGTAGACTTTTGTAGTGTCCCATCTTTCATCAAACAAATCTGTCCTGCCAAGACCCTACAGCCCTAGCACACTTCATATTATCAACTCCTATTAAAATGGTGCTATTACTTTGCAATGTTAATATCAAAATGCAAAGATAAGGCACAGAAGGCAGAAAACAGAGTAATTAGTGCTATACTTGAACATTTGGTTTTTTAATTCTGGAAATTGCTTGCAACATAAACAAAGGCACATATAATTTACCTTTAAAAATGTCTGGGAAACTCAAATCTAGAAAGGTCAGGAAGCTGGCTGATTCTCTACTCCTACCACTATCTCCACATTGTAGCACTTTCCTAGAGTTTCCCTTGCTAAGTCTTCATTGTAAGCTAAAAATTTAATTTATATAGTTAAAAACATCTTCTTGGTTATGAAAGTAGAGGGTACTCTTCTTTTTATTTATGCCATAATTTTTTTGAAAAATTTTCCCCTATAATACTAGCTTGGTAATAATCAAGATTATTAAAAATTAACTCCTATTGTCAATGACCTCAAAGAATAATAATTTGTTCCCAGAAATTCTTAGTCTGTCTAGCCTCAAACTTCACTTGGAATAAAGCTTGCAAGGAATTGACATGTTACTATTATCTGAGACTTATATTTTAACTAATTTTTCATTAATTTACTATTTCAGATTATTACTAATACATTAGAAAAGTGTCAGACTCATTCCACTTAACACTCCTGAAAAGCCATGTCTCACCAGGCAGTGTCTGTGAGCCACTGTGTATGGTAGGGTCACTGGATTGTCCTGTGATTGGGAGACTGAATTTCCAAATTCGGTCATTATTGTACTTCTGCAGATAAGTCACTCAATCTTTCTGTACTTGAATTTTTTCAGCCGAGGGGATAATAGTACCAGCTCTGTGTACTCTACAGTGTTGCAGGGATTAAATGAGCTGTTAAATACAGCAGAGGTCTTCAAATTTAAAACACAAGAGCATAAAAGCAATTTTTCAGTGTTGTCATCTGTGCCAAATAATGCCCAACTTGGAGTAAAAACTTTTTTTCTACATCTTTGTAAAGGAAACCACATAAAGGAATTTAGAAAATAAAATAACATCACAGTTCCAGTGGTTAAAAGTAAATACACTCTTTTATATTTATCCAAGTGTTTATTAAGTACCAGCCAGAAAGATAGTCCATTGGTAGCAGTACAAAGTGCAAAGATTTATTCAACGTGCATTTGGGGTCAAAGACTTAATATACAATATGTGAATATTATAAATAACATCCTTCCTTCCACTCACTCATCTTTATAATCCCAATTTAGCACAAGCAACTGGTGGATGTAAGGCCCTCAATCTGTCATATTAGGGGAGTTGGAACAAGTACTAAACTCTTACCTCAATAGCTTTCTCATTACTCAGGTCTCTAGACTAAAAAGGAAGTGGAGAGAGTATAAAATATTTAATGGTTTGGTTCAATTCCAGTCATTACTAATACGGATTCATAATTCATTTACTGGCTTCCAATGTGAAGAATCTACTTATAGATAAGTGAATGCATTATTGTCATATGTTAATGCTTGCCTCATAGTTTAACACCACTAGAAATTATATGGATATATGCAGAATAGGCCTGTGGGCTAAGCAGTGTATTTTTATCCTTCTCAAATAGACAAAACCCATGCCAGATGTCAGTGCAATCATTCAATTTTTTGTGAATGTTTGCACTGACCACACACACCCAGTTTCATTACAAGCTCTTCACGTGCCTTAAAACAAATTTGCATTCACTGCCTCCATTTAACCTCAGGGCAAAGAGAGCCCCAGAGAGGTCAAGAGCCTTCTGCCCCGCACTCAACACAAGTCTGGAGGGGAAGAGGGTCACACTCTATCTCCCTAAGGCCTCTCTGGTTCCAAGCTCATTACACAATGCTTTTCCCACTTCAAAGGAACATCTTAGATTTTTTATGCTATCATTCTCTGACAAGGTCACTCATTTTCATATATATTCACTCCGTAACTTTCATATGTTCTAATGCAGCAAGGATAAGTTAAAAAATGAGATTGTTTTAGGGACATGATTTTGTTTCATGATCTGACCTTTGTCAAGTGATTTACCATGTCTTCTTATTGCCATCTGGACATAGGGATGGCGAATGATTCTACTTTGCTGTTATCCCTTAGTCCCGTTGATGTGCTACACAGGATTAGTGTGCAACAGAAATTAAAGATCCTTCACACGTGCATCCCAGGATAATCTCCATCTTCCTGGCTGTGGACCAAGACCAAGTTCAGAGGTCAAAGATCTAGCAAGATTTTGTTGTGTGTTCCAGACTCTGAAATAGGTGGGAACACAGTCTGCCAATTTTCTCCCGACTCTTATTTTTTCTGCTAATGCTGAGAATCCAGATCATGACTGACATGCACCATTGTGCTGATGCAGGATGGGAGGGAGGCCAGTGTTCAGTGACCCAGGTCTGTTTTGGGCTGTTCTAGGATGTTCCATCCAAGCAAAGAACATTCTTGACTTCCGGTCAGAACACTTCTCCTGAAGCGGCTCCTTAACTTGCACTTTTGGACAACCGATTATTTGGTCCACAGTATCTAGTTTTTTCCTTGTGTGTATGTTTAACTAGCTATTTTACTTGGTTAATATGCCTCGAATGCTTCTAATTCCAAAAAACAGAAGTACAGTGTGTTTTTCTGGTTTCCTCTACATGCAAAGCCTAGGGAGTATATTGAAGTAAGGAAGCAGATTTTTCTTATTTTGGAAAAGAGCAACTCAATGGCCTTTTGAGGATGATACTCCTCTGTCAATTAGGATTTCAATGGGGCCAACAATCTTTGCAAGTGACTCTCTGCTTTAGATCCTCTGCTTCAGGTGAATTATGCTGTGATTTATGAGAACCCTGGTGTGCAGAGAGTTAAAACATTTCCAAGTCCCCCGATCTCTGTCCTCTACATCCCTGGTCCAGGGTGGGGCTAAGGGTCTTGACCTTGTCACTCTTCCTGAGGACAAGAGGAGAGGAACAGATGAATCCAACTGTGAATGCAGTGTCCCAGAAAAAAAAGAGACAAAAATGCTTTTGAGCACACTGACCTATCCCAATCTTTCGTTAGTCATCTGCAATGCCCGCTGACAGTTGACAGCAAAGGAAAATTGGGAAATTGGCTTTGCTATTAAATGTATAAGAAAAAGGTAACCAAGTTGCTTAATTTTCTGTCCAGTTTTTTAAGATGGTAATTAGGAGAACTAACACCAGCCAGGCTTGAGTGAATGCAAACAAGACCCCTATAGGCAGCACAGTGTATTAGTGTAAAAATATGCCGAGACAACATAACTTGTCAGAGAGGATTATTTCTACTTAGTGAATCTGCAGGAGCCCCTTTGCTCTACTATCCAGCATTTGACTAGGGAAGAGAGTGGAGAGAGAAAGAGAGGGGGGGGGGAGAGAGAGAGGGCGCATTAGTGAACAGCGACTGTGGCATTGATGTTTGAGCGTACTTCTGAACTGGCTTTTGTTGAGACTATCTGTGTAGAAAGCATGCGCTGTCCCAAATCCGCTGTTACTATGAGAAATGAAGAGCTGCTTTTAAGGTATGTTGTTGTGTTCTTTGTTTAATGTGTGCTTTTCTAGTTTCTAGAGCTGGCTGAGACAATAATCATGCCCTGAATCAAGTAGCTTTCTTATCTTAGAAGAGGAGAAAAAAAGAATCTAAAGAGAGAGAGAGAGAGGGGAAGGAAATTGAGACTAAGAGATTGGGAGAGAGCAAGCTAGAGAAAGGAAAAGCACTGCTGTGAGCGAGTTCTATTTGTACTAGTTACCTTTTGAAAGCAGATCATGTATTTGCTCGATGCTATGTGTGAGTGGCCAGTGGATCATTTTAAGGGCTCCGAATCTGGCTCTTGGTTCGTCTTTTCCTTTGCAATGTCTAAGGCTCTTTCATTATTATGCACTCTGCATGGAATAATCACCGAAAAAGGAGCTGAGGAGACTCCATATTAGACTTGCGTTCCAAATACCGCTCTAATCTGGACTTAGCCTACCTAAATAGTCCTCCTGTGTTACCAGGTTTGGATCACTTTATCCTGTATGCCAAATGTGTACCTGTTTGGAGACCTCTATTCATGCATGGCGTCCTGGGTCCCCATGTATAGAAAGCAAATATTTGTTTCCTGCATCGGTGTTGGGGTTCTCTCACATACCAAAAAGGAGGCACCACTGACCTTTTGGGAAACAGAGAGAGAATTATGATAGAATTGGCATCCTGCTTTGAAAAATGTAGTCTTTTGTTTATTTGCTAGCAGACATTGTAGCACTGAATACATCTTTGGGTCTGACAATGGGACCCGCTGAACAATGGAGCTGTCAAACTAGCTTAATGCATGTCTGGGGATTTTTTTTTTCCTTTCTTTCTCAACACCCTTTTTATCTCCTATAATCTTGTTTGTATAGACTATCAGAATGAAGAGTTTTTAGAAATGCTTGTTTGTGGTTTTGTGCTTTTAAAAATTGAGTATCTGCTGTTCGCAGAGATGTTTGCATTTTGCAGTTACGTTGGTTGGATTAAGTTAGAGATTTATTGCTTACCTCTCTGTTAACTACAGAAAGAAAACTTATTGATTGAGAATTCTTGTAATACCATTATCAGTCTGACAAATACCTTATGATCAGACCTGCTTCTACAGTGTTTAATGCTCAGGGTTTTAAAATTTGCCCATTTGGTGGACTTATGGAATGTATCAGGAAAGAGAAGTTAGGAGGAATATTTTTAATGCTAAAGGAAATTATAATTTCTCATCCCTACCTTCCCTTTTGGCATCCATGTAGATAAACCATTTAGAAAGTCAAGGACAACTGAGAACTTTTACTCTTTAAATTATGGTCACAAACTATTATTGTATAGCCTATTAAGTTGTTAAGTTAAAGGTCTCTGTGTAATATATTGATTTTTGATTTATGCTTATGTCCTCATAAAATGCATTTCTATGCAGCACAAACATTTCTCATGTCTTCAAATATCTTTCATTTTATAAGATAAGCATTGATTTCTAAGGTAAAACAGTGACACTGTAGACAGAGAACAGGGAAAATTTTGTTTCAAACTTCTCAAATATTGAAATCATCTTTATTTTCACATTAGTGATAAAAGAATTGACCCTAGAATAGTAAATGATAACTGATTTACATGAAGAATATATATTTATCTAATGTTTTAGTATTTTGTTTAATTACCTGTTGTGGCAGAGCAACATATCAAAATACATTACTACATTCCTAGAGAAAGATTAAGGACCTAATTTTCAAAGAAAGAAACAGAGGGGAAATTGTTTTAAAGGGCAAAGTTTAAAAAAATTTAGTTACAAATATTTCCTGCTATATTTTGGTTCAAATTAGTGATGTTCCCACTAAATGAGGAACAAGGTGTACTACTTATAAAAACACAGTTATGAAAAACTAGCTATTTTTTTTAGAGTTGGGCATATGGATTTCAATTTTTTAAAAACTTAAGTTTGAAATGTTATGAACTATTGAATGCAGAATTATTTAAGTAAATATTGCCAACTAAATAGAATTGCCATCTCATCTCACGTAGAGATTTTCTGTTGATAATATTCTCCAAGCCTAGGCATATATATATATATATATATGGAGTGTGATAATATTTTAAAGATATTCATTGGGAATAGAATGCATTTTTAAAGCATACTGATGTTCTCTTGCTTCCAATGGGATCCGAACTGGTCCTTCCCTCGGGTATACCAAGAATTGTTTTGGGGATGAGCTCATAAAAGGTAATACATGAAGCTTCATATCTGAAAGATGCCAACTGTTACCAGCACACTCAGGTTTTTAACCTAAAACAAAGGTTGTGTGTGTGTGTGTGTGTGTGTGGTTTAGAAGAAAATAGTGCTCCCTAGCTTCTTGTCCGGAGCTCATTTAAATAAAGAAATAACTTGAAAATCTCCATGTTGGATTTTTTTAAAAACTAAATTATCAGTTATTTAACTCTGATCTCTTCACTTTAATTCCTGAGTGGTCATAGTGAGGTTGAGAAACAAGGGCAATCTCTTCCCACTCTGTTGCTCTCTAGTTGCTTGATTCATCACCAGCCTCCAGAATTTGGAGACACCCTGCGTTCCAGCATCCAACACATAGATGTCTTTTTCTTTAACCTGATGGGGAAGGTATGAGATTGCCAGGAACAGGCAAACTTGCCTGCATCTATTTTTATAACAGTAGTAAAATAACGTAATCTGTATCCTGCTACTGGCCTCAATTCCCCTGGATAGTGACCTAAACAAATGTAGAAATAAAATTTAATTCTAAGCCTAAACCTGCAGAAAAGGAGTAGTATAAGATTCAAACTGGGAAAATGGTTTCTTTCAATAGAAAGTAATGATTACACCCTAAGCCCCTTTACACATGAGCCTTGGGAATATTCACAAGCTGTGTATAGCGGACCACATACTGAGATCTATAACCTACATGCTTTTAAATGCTTTTATTTGTTAAAATGAAGCATCACCGTTTTTATTTTTAAAAATATGGGTAAATACAATTGCAAAATATCCTTTGGGGTCTGAAAAAAACCAGAGGCGAGTGGTTGATTAATATTCATATCTAGAACTTTAGCAAGTACAGATTGTGCTTGAATACCTACAAAGTCATTCAAAGAGTGAATCAATACTAATTATTGTAATCAGGGGGGTTAATTAGGTGAAAATGTGCCTGATGGAAAGTTCATTGCTCACAGCCCTGGAAACACCCAGGATGATGAAAAGAAAGGGAAAATGCAAAAGAAAAATGTGCTATTGGGAAGCATGGCTCAGCATTTAAGGTGTCAGGATTTGTAAATGAAAAACAACTTGATTTTGTGTAATTGCAGTTGTGAGGAAATTGGAAATATCCAACTTAGTTTTTCATAAAGAGATTTGTGTAAAAGTTATTAAAGAATGCAGTTGATTTAGTGCCATCTGCTCCTGAGCATTTATCCATACTTCTTTAAACAAGTGCAAGTCCATACAGTGGCAATAATCCTTTCTCGAATCATCTTTATCAGCCTTCACTGAATTTCTTTCTACATTTTGGTAATTCCTCGGGGATTTGATGGGGTGTTCTTATTTCATAAAACTATGGATTGCTTCTCTAATTGTTATTGGATTTGGGAGTTTTTCTGAACTAACAGTGACTTTTATTCTGTAGGAAAAAGGAAACAGTGGTTTGGAGTGGATTAAAATTCATGGCATTTTATTTAGCTGACATTGAGAAGAGGGTGTCAGAGAAAGGGAGGCACATGTGAGGTGTCCTGTTGCAGTGAATAGAAATGAGCTGGAACATGTTTCAGATCACATGGTGCCAACCTACAGAGATGGGGCTCAGATGCGCGTGTGTGCGTGTGTGTGTGTGTGTGCGCGCGCGCGCGCGTGAGTTTTGAACCTCCACACCACTCAACCCAAAGATGATGCTGGTCAACATGATTTGGGATGAGGTGCACCTAGTTCCTTCTGCCTCTTGGAAAGTCACTAGAAATGATCAGGTACAGGTGTGCATATCTTCCTCATAGCTTTTTTGTTGTTGTTCTGTGTGACCAATTCTGGCACATTTTCTTGTATATCAACTCCAACAGGAAATGGCATCCAGGAAGAGAGGATGACACCAGCTCAAATTGATACATATTACGAGGGCAGCTTGAGCTCCTGCTACTTAAGCCCACTGCAGGTTGACCTGCCCGTGATTGGCTACACAGGACCCTGATGACTCACGGGAGTTCATGAAGCAGCGGGGCCAGCATGCCCTCTGCAAAAAGAAATAAAAACTAGGATTTTTCCTGCAGAATTATTCAATTCAACAAAATTTGCTGTCATGGCAAAGAAGAGCTTGTATAATGCTAATACACCTCTGATAACTCCTAGCTTTTTTCATCCCTGTCTTGAGTAAACTCACAGCTGCAATTAGTAGAAACTCTGTTGAAACTTAAGGCAGAGCAGCGGCTGGCCTCTAGCAGGTGTGTGAAGTCTCTAGCAAGGACATGATGGTCCATATATGCAGAAGTCAGTCTGTGCTTTTTGTTCCCTGGGAAAGCTGTCCACCCTGGTCATAACAAGGACCACACATCCTGTTTATCACACCTAGCTTTTTGAATGTGTTGGTCTGGGACACCAGCTGTCTTTCGGGCTCTGTGATTTGGCTTACCCGCTCATTTAAAGATGCTTTAGGAATCCTCTCTGAGTGAGCAAGAATGCTATGGACTTCCTTGAAGTAGTGGTTGGGATTCATGTTGACCTTCTTTCTGAAAACTGACTTGAGAAAAAGCAATGGAGACCTCATTCCAAGCCCCAGAATGCTCTGGGCCTGCTCTCCCCAAACTGTCACTTTTGGGTTGGCCTGTGGGCCTTGGATCAGTGAAAACCTTAGTGCTACAAGAACCACAGGATGAGGGCTTGCTTCTTGCTTTCCCTCTGCCTTCTCAATTGCCAGTTCTAGGTTCCAGCAAAGATTGGGGTATGGGGTGTTATGATAGAAGTAAGAACTAGAATTGAAAGTTATTAACAATGTGCTTTGTGCCTGACACTCCACTAACTGGTTACTTTGTCTCGGGTAATATGATTCTCACAGCTATTCAAGAGTTAGCGGTAGTTGTGACTTCTCAACTTAAAGGTGAAACACTAAGACCAGGACAGATGAAGTCATGGACCCATAGATACAGCTCATAGTGTAAGGGACTATAACTCAGGGCTCAGCCATATTCCTGCCCTGGCCAATGGGAAGCATAACAATTTGACATTTGCCAAGACTTCCACTGGGGCAGCAGTTCTACTGTAGAGATTGATGGGATATACCTCCTAGTTTTTTTTTTTTTTTTTTTTAACCAATGAGATAGTTGTACTATTCAGCAAGGACTCCTCATCTAGGATCTGAGGTCAAAATCCTGTTCATGATTTATGATTTCAGCCACTTAGCTCTTCCTGAATTTTAGTCCCTTTAACCTTGTCTACCTTCCAGGGCCAGTTTTAGGAAGAGTGTAGGAGGTAGAACTAAAGAAGTGGAGAATGATGAGAAAGAAGAAGGAATTAAGGGAATAAGGAAAACAATTTTTGAAAGCAGCAATTTTTGCTTCTGAGTTCTAAAACACCCCCTCCGTACCCTTGTTTACCTTAGAGTTCACAAGGTCTTCGAATTAAAGCATTCTGTGCCTCATTCCTCTTGGGCTTTAATCTGTAGAATGGGAACAGATATGCAAAGGAGTAATAGAGAATTTTAGAGCATCATGAAATTAAAATGTGAATTTTTATGTATATGTGGGCAAATATGTCATACTGCAAAGGTAACCAAGAAACAAATTATTTAGAATTATATGCAGATAAATATGTATATAAAGATGTAGCGCTAAGGATTGAATTCAGTGCCTCACATGTGCTAGGCAAGTGCTCTACCACTGAGTCACAACCCCAGTCCATGAATTGATCTTTGTTTTTAAAATAAAGTAAAATTGAATCCTAAGCTTAGTTACCTTTCTTTCCGATTTCCCAAGGTCATTCACATCTCTTCTCTAACCTTACATTATTCCTATGACATAGAGCAGAGGTAACTATTAACATTAATAGAGAATTGAGAAACTAAAAATTAAGTCACATTCAACCATAGAGATGAGATATAGTACATCCCAGTCTTCTTGGGGAGATAGCTCTACTAATTTTTCCTGAAGATTTTTTTGGGAAGTTCTTTTAAGAGAAAGAAAAAAAAAATCCCCCCCTAATGGACTTACTGGGAATTAGCATCAAAAGCAAATTTAAATAAAAAGTCATTTGGGATTTTCAAAAACCTCTTTCATAGGCTAAAAATGGTTCAAGATTTGAACCATATTATAGGGAAAAAATAAATTTCCTGTGCTCAAAACCTTGATGTATTTCAACCTACATGTCACTTTAATAGCTTGGTTATATAATTGCTGTAGTAATAATTAGGCTAACACATTGTACTTCTTATCTGAGGATCATGGTAGGCTTTGATTTGTCAGCCATTCATCCCTCGTAGGAAGCAATGGCCACGCATAAGACAAAGGTCGAACTGATGAATCAGAAAATTAAATGACTTGTCCCTAGTGTCCATCAAACTCTCTGACAGAATAAAATGCCGAATCCAACAGGTTTGGTTCTTAAATCTCATAATCTTTTCACTCAGTCTGAAAGTAGCATTTGTCCTAAAGAGTCTAATCTGCATGCAACAGATCAGATATCTTCTGATCTTAGTAGCCAGAAGCTCTTTGCTGGGGATCATTTATCATTGTGAGTCAAGTGATTCATGTGCTAGCTTTTACAGACACCCAAGCTTTTGCTGCTTTAATCCTCACTCTACTTCAAGATGTATTTGTTCAGAGCAAATGGGGGAGATGCAAGCAAATGGAGGCTGATTCCCTCTTAAGTTGAGATTTTGCTTCTTGCCCAGATCTGTCTCACCCCACCAAAAAAAAAAAAAAAAAAAAAAAAAGCTTACCACATCCAACTCTTTTTCTTTCTCTCCCACCTGTTGCTGTGTTCTCTGGGCTCCAATGTACCACCACAATTGTGTCCTCCCAGCTGTTGCTCCTCAGCTGTTGTATTTTGTCAAGCAGTAATTTCTCCTTTTTTTAAATTTAATAACACGTGACGGTAAGATAAGAACGTCTTGCTGACGGAGGAAAACATTTGGTGGGGGCGGGGGTGTTGAAGGGCAGATTGTGAGGGAATTAGAAACCTCATTCTGAGAAGTATGAATTTTGTTCCTCCAGCCAGGCTGGCACCAGATAAGGGCACCTGGTTTAGTTTGACAAATCTCGGCATCTTCAAGAGGGCACTGGACATTCCTTCAAAAAAAATTTTTTTTTTCCCCGTGAGTGCCTTCCATGTGCAAATCACTGTGCTAGACAGAGAAGTCTTTTTCAAGTCCCCACCCTTTCCCCAGACTTCTTCCCAATTTTCCCCATTCTATTTACTCCATCTTCCCCCACCCCACCCCTCCCTGGTCATGTCTGGAAAGGAATCCCACCGCCCACTGCAAGACAGCTGTTCCCAGTTCAGAATCAGCCTTGGTCAAGGCGAATGCAACTTGCTCTCTCTCTCTCCGCAGATAAGCAACCTAAGGCTCCTCTCTTCCCTTTGGTAGTCACCCACCTCCTGAGACCCACAGCTCCAGAGGAAAGCTTCAGATGTTGTCTGGCTCTCATTTGAAAGAGAAGGGGGGAAAGGAGAAAGGAAGAGAAAGCAAGACAAGTGGTGTGATGGAGAGAGGGGGAAAAGGAAAGGGTAGGTTGGGGAGAGAAGTGGTGAGGTGGCCGGGCTGTGGGTCTGAGAGATCCAGAGTATTAACATTTCCTCCCCTTGGATTGGAAGCTCCTGAGAGCTCTAGTCGGGGAGCTCATTTTCCAGTGCCAACAAGGTACGTATGCAAAGAACTGTCTCTGGTTAGAGTGCCTCCTCAGGAGGAAGATGAATTCACCACGCAGTCTTTGGGCTCTATTAAAAACAGATTTCAGAAAAACACAAGATTGCAAACTAGTAAAAGCTGCTCTCAAAGGACAGCAACTGCTTAATATTCCCTTAAAATGTAAAATGGTAGTTTAATAACTATTTTATCTGTACAGGCATTTAATTTTACTCATCCAGTTGTAAGAATGTGATCAAAAAACTCAAAATGGGGGGGGGACCAGTATTGATTTTAAGCTTATGATTGGTGATATTAATATTTGTTTTTAGGTGATATCTTTCTGGAGGAACTAGAATAACAATTTACAATGTATCACTTAATGCTTTTTTTCTTTTACATAAAGCATATGTAAAAAATTAAACCAAACCATTATTTATTTTTGTAAGTTGCTAATGAAATTGGAGTCAGCCAAGAACAAACACATGGCTACAAAGCCAGATACTCTCTCAGGTAGTTAAAATTCATGTGGATTTCAAATTTATTGCCTGGAAATGATGGGAAATCCCATTATAGGGCCTGTATTTCTTGTTCCAAATGATTCTCAGCACACTGGGCTTGTTTTTCTGTTTTGTTTTTGTTTCTTGTTTTTTAAAAAAAACAAAACAAAACTGAAACAGCAATGTTAATAAAATTTGAATTCAAAAGTGTGATGGGGAAAGATGTTTGGGATTCTGGTTTGCAATAAGTAGCCAGGAGTGAGGGGCGGAAAGAAATCCTTTACTTGATGTGGCTTTTTTCAACTAACTGAACAGCTGCTAGTGCATCTTTGTTCTGTGGTTGCACTGCTGATAGTTACTCATTTTTAAAAAGACTGCTATGGGGAAAGTTATGTACAGGAATTATTTTGAAAAATAGAAATTTGTCATATATAGGGTCATCTGCAGAAGAAAATGAACTTGTTTCATTATAAACTTTAATCAGCATATATTAGCCACCAGTCTCTGGACTATAAACTGTAAACATGTTGAAAGATCTACAATTGGTGGACTGTATTCTAGTTGGCTGATCGGGGTGGCAGGAAAAGGATTCTTCCAATTCAGGCCATGTGTACTCATTGTACAAATGCATTTATTAGCACTCTGTTGCTCCCGAGTGTTGTTTTTTTAATGCTAGTGATAATTCAGTGCTCAAACAATGGACATTGGACAAAACTCAGTATGAGATGAGGGCCGAGGAGGGAAGTGGGGAGTTGAAGCAGCACAGAGTACTGGCTTGCCTTGGAAGGCCTCGTATAAAATGAGGTCATTCAGAAACTTTCCCTTGAAGTGCTTCCAATTCTTGAATTGCCTTTTGTTTGGGAAATGAATAGCAAGTTGATTAAAAAAAAAAAAAAAGGAGACAATTAGGAAGAGGTAGGGGGATGGGTCTAGAGAAGAGCTTAAGGTTTTTCTACAATGGAGCTAACACTATGGGGAGACTTCATTGTTCCTGGTCCCTAGTGATGTGCACATGGTGGTGTCACCAATGGGTTCATAGTCTGCAAGATGGGCTCTCTGATGACCTCCGGTTGCCTTTCACTGCTGTCGATAAGATCCTCGGCTATAAAACAGCTTCATTGAACCCCAGTGTTCCACTGAGGCCCCGAGGAGCTATGTGCCATATAACTCCAACTGCCCAAACATGATACCTGATGGCTCATTTCTGCATGAAAATTTTAAAAGGGGCCCTATTGAATTTTTTTTAGATTTTCCCCCCTTCTACCAAAGGAGTGAAATGAGAAATTTAAGCTTTTCATCAGGTGACGTTTGAGTGTTTTTTGTTTTCATTTTAAGCACAAGAGCTTTGAATTTCTTATTTTTTAAAACATCTAGTGCTGTGATCATAGAAACTTGGATATTAGAAATGAAAGCCACACATTGAAGGCTTTCGTGAATGACCAATGGGATGGGGGGGGGGGCGCAGTGTGTGTGAGCATTTTGTTTCTTTCTGGCACCTACATCAAGCGCCTATGCAATCACTACATTATTTATGTATTTGGCAGCCCAAGTGTTTATTTAAACTCAGCCACACTCCATAAGCTGTCCTTGGTTCACCACACTACATCTCATGTAGCCTGAGTTTTCTTTTATATTTGACCCTGGTTTTGCTTCTAACTTTAAATGGTGAAAGCAAATGTGCTTTGGAAACTATGTTGCACTGTAGTTGTTAAATAAGGCAATAACCTATGCACTTGTAATTCTCTCTCTATGACCTACTTACATACTACTTCACCCTCCTTATAGTATGATTAAAAGCTGCTTTGAATCCACTATTGCCTCAAGGGATTTGAGGCTAGAATTTAACAAACTACTGAGAAGGCTTAAGTCAGGAAGAGGGCCTCCCTACAGCTTTTTCTAACTAATTCTCATGCAATTAAAAAGAAAATAAATATTTTAGAAGTGTACATGTTAATGAAGCATTTTCTACCTTATAGAATGTAGATATGTATGAAACTTCATCCCATCGTTGACACGAAGATATTTCTCTTTTTGATTAACAGAGTTGTTTTGCTTATTTGGAGGCATGTTCTGTTGTCTCCTAAATTGGTTATATAGTCTGTTTATATACATAAGGGATTTATATAACAACACGGAAAACTAAAAACTGTCAAGGTTAGTCTTCATTTATCTAATCAATTATTTAGATAATTAAAAGACCAACAAGAATTGTAGAATTTCAAAGGTACTGGCAATAGCTGAAGTGGGGAGTAAATGTAGCTTAGGATTCAGGAAAGTTTGGGTATTTTTGGATATAAGAATTCATTTTATTGCAACTGTTTCTCAACTGTATACAAACTTACACCTGTATCCTCAGGAAAGGCCATATTAGAAAATGGTAAGTCTAGCTCTACATTTCAACTACCTTCCAATTAGGTCAAAAGTCTGATATATAATTCAGCTGGAGAAGGAAATCAAGTCAATTAAGTATGAGTGGAGTTAACTGAATATTATAGGGTTGTTACTCCATATTGTTCAATGCACCAAACCTGGATTTAAAATTGTGGATTTAAAATTGTGGATTTAAAGTTGATGTGTAAATATCTATTTTCTTTCATAGTCTCTAAAGATAAATCTCATCACATAAGAAAGTGGTGAGAAAAAATGAAAACAAACTTTTCTCCTTATAGTGTTTGATACATTTAACTACTTGTGACTTAGCTGGGTCACGGTAACCAGAGGGTTAGCTAAGACTTGATTTGTGAGAAGCCCAGTTCCTGAGCACCACATTCTGATTTTCTTTAGAATAAAAACAACATGGAGTAGAAATCAGATTTTCAAATAAAACTATGTGTGTGTGTATGGGTATATGTGTATGTATGTGTATATTGCAAGCATATGTGTGTACACACTTAAATAAATGTACATATACATTACCCTCAAAATTTAAACCCTGTCATTACAAAACAAAATGAAAAGTGATGATTACCCTAAGAGGCAAACTATAAACTTTTGGTATGCCATTTATGATGTTGATTTAGAATGTGAAATATGCCATGTAATTTTACATAGTTGGCACTGCACTGAAAAGTTTGGTTTAATAAACAACACAACAAAGAGAGTGCTAAATTAGAATGTCACCTTGTAAACTAATCTTTCAAATTCTTTCACAAATAACTTGGAAAAATTTAACTCACCTGCTTCTCTGAAAGTCTTGCCACTTTCCTTGATTCCTATTAGGAAATCAGTCACAAGCTTAAATGTGGCCATTACATTATAGACCAAACACATGAAGGTATTATTATTTTTGTTTTGTTTTCATTGTGTTAAATATTAGGAATCGGTAGTTTGGTGATTTATCAATATTTTTAAAGTGTGATTTATTACTGTTATTTCTAGTCCATATTTTAGTGTTTTCAAGTTGATACAAAAGACAGTAAGTACAGTTGTGCAAAGACTGATCTGTCACCTTAAAGCACTGAGTTAAGTCCTTAAATGTAACTTGGGCCGTATTTATCTGATACTTTGCCTAAATACGATTTCAGGGATTGTTGTCAGTTCATACACTGGCAAGCATGCACTGAAACAAACCCTCTTGGTGATTCTGTCTCCTGTGGATTCGGTTTGGGAGCATGGTTCTGGGCTGGAAGGGAATCAGGCTTTGGCACTTAGCACCAGCACTAAACCTCTCCTACAAGTGGCCACTGCGGCCTCGTGCCAGGGCAATGGGGAATTCAGTGCAGCAGGGCAGGGCCAGATCGGTGCACGAGTTTGCGTTTCGGTTTGCGTGGGGACCCCAAGCAAGCGTGGCAACGCTGAAAGCGCGCCGGCTGCGCCCAGGCAGCGGCCACCCGCCTGGGTCGCTCCTGGGGCGGGGCGGGCCCGCAGGGGTTAAGCGGCGGCGCGGCGGGCGCCCGGGGAGCTCCGCCCCGCCCGCCGCACCTGGCGCTCGGCAGCCGGCCGCCTCGGCACTGGATTTCGGAGGGGATTGGCGGAGAGCGCCAGGGAGAGAATGTGACAAGTGCGGGCTCGGCGGCCGCCGGGGGAGGCCGCGCGCACCTGTCCCTGCCCGTCTCGCGCCGCCCGCGGCCGCTCGGACGCGCGCAGAGCCGCCCCCCGCCACCGCCGCCAGCGCCCGAGAACATGACTTCTGCCTTCAAGCTGGATTTCCTCCCGGACATGATGGTCGAGGGCCGCCTGCTCGTCCCGGACAGAATGTGAGTGTGGCCGGCGGCCCGCAGGGCCGAGTGTCCGCGCGCCCGAGCGGGCGTCGTCGGCTCAGCTGGCGGGCCCCGCGGGCGCGGGGGGACGGGCGGCGCTCGCAGCTGCCGGGCGCGTGGTGGCCGCTCGGGAATCGGCCGCCCCCTGGGCTTTCCGAGGCCGGCGCTGGGCGCGGGCAGCAGGGAGCGCGTCCGGACGTGTTACGCCCAGCCACTGGGCACTGGCGATCCGATCGCGGGGACCCGGAGGGGTGAGCGGGGCGAGAGGGGCGCGGGTGTCTGGGGGTCCAAGCGGCCTGAGCGAAAGCTGGGCGGGGCGCGGCGCGGCGTCCCGCGGACCGGCCAGCGGAGCACGGGGTCCGGGCGGGGTGGGCGCGTGCTGGTGTGCATGCTCGTGTCATTTGAGCTGTGGAGCTGATGGAGCGCTTGCGGCCCGTTTAAAGATCCCTCCTTACCAAATTATCCATCCATCAGACTTTCCATTTGCAAAAATTCCTTTCCTAAGGTGGGAGAAAAGAAGAGGAACACAGAAGAAAAAAAAAGGGGGGGGGGTTTGATAATTATAAAGCATTAAAGTAGCCAGGTGTACTCTATTGTAGAAATTATAGGCAATTTTTACGTAATCATGATGGTTTGTCTGATATGCAGTCTGTAATTTAATAATGTGATTCTGGTTGTTTTACATGTCGTCAAACTAGGGTAGAGCGGTTATTGGAAGAACTGGAGAGCTGGGATTCCGGGAGGAAAGGAAACTATGTCTAATTTTTATCAGTCTTGTTAGTCTTGATAGGGAAGTTTCTCTGATGAGCTCAGGGATGTCAAGTCAATAGGATCTACTTGTATTTCAGGCATGTTATGTAAAGCAAATCGAAAGAAATAGGAAAAGAACTGCTAGATTGAGTCAGAAAGGTCTGGAGTATATAAAATTCCCTCTTAAGGAGTGAGAAATTTGATAGTGGATGTAGGCTAAAAGATATTTAGTGAAGAAAAGTACTGCTGTCGAGTAGGAGTACGTACAAAACGTTTCCAATTCTCCCACTGTTAAGACTTAACATCCGCACACTTTCTGGCACCTTATGGTCTTCTTCGGAATGTTCCGGCCATTCCGAGTTTTATGATCCATTCTCCTGGCAACTAACTTTTCCCTGTGATGCTAGATGCTTTTTTCTAGTATGTCAGGTGTTATGAGTTGAAATTCTTAGGCAACTCTTCAGTAGCCAATTATTTAAGTCCTTCCTAAAATTAAAAAAAAGTGGGAAGGATGATAGAATTCATTAAATGTGAATTGTCCTGTCTGTCAATATGAAGACTATTAAACTTGCTGAAATAGGTGGTCTCAACTGAGATAATCGGAAAACATAAAACATTTAATTTCCTTTTGGTGCTTTTTCTGTGAGATATTAATCCTGATTAGTAACATTTCCATGATGTAAGAGATCTCTGTCTTCTGCATTTAATGCATGCTTGCAGGTGAGCTAGTTTGGAAGTTTTATGTGTTTCCTGTGTTAGAGTAGACTGCAACCAAGGAATTAGATTGATTATGATTTTGAATTTATAGTCACCTGCTACTTAAGTGACCATCATATATCTAGCTAATGAATGCTCTGTGAATTTAAAGTATTAATGGCCTCTGAAAGATGTAGTCTCTTGTCAATTAAATTATGAATTATGAAAATTTAATTTGTCCTTTTCATTTGGTAGATGAATATGGCTTGTTCTAACTCCTTAGTCTGAATAGAGACTTTGTATCTTAGTCATGGAGGACTTTCCTATACAAATCCTAATATGATTTCTACTCCATTTCTCTTCCAAATGTTCGTTATTTCCAAATGATAGCCTTTGGAATGGAACCAGATTGTTTTCAGTGTTTGTCAACTATTGCTTAATTGAACTAAAAAAAAATTTGTAAATGATAGCTTTATTATTTGTTTCCAAGATAACTATTGTGTGTCTCCTATGGCCCTGAGAACACTGTAGCATGTTTTTCAAAATAGCTTGTAATTAACTCATATTGAATGCTGTATTTGGGGATAGAGGTGTGTGGGTGGGAATATGATTTGGAAATGCATGAAACCCACCTAGGCAGTGTATTTTATTGCCATACTCATACAGTTGAGAAGATAGCTGTGTGGATTTATTGTTTTGGGAACTGGTTGTCATATATGGTATATTGCTGCTTGGACTAAATTGCAGTCTGCTAGATATTGGCCTGTTCCTAAAAGAAACTTAAATAAAGCATGGGGGCTTTTCGGGGTTGATTTTCGAAAGCAGGAGAACATATTTTCAGTGACGTTTTTCCCACAAGAATATATTAGATAAGTTTGCAAGATGTAATATGTTTGAGTCCTCAAGGCAGATGAACAAATAGCTTTTGAGATGAATTATTATGCTTGATGGCCCCACGAGCCATTCAGGGTTTAAAGAGCCCACATCATTTAAGGCTCTGTAGTGGCATAGAATTGCATGTGCTTTAAAATTTGGGGTTTTAGACATTCAGCATTTAAAGCGTAAATGGAAATGAACACGTTAAATAATCTTGACTATTGTTTTTGTTCTTTCTGTTATTATAAAATACTGTTTACAACAAACCGTCATGAAAATGGTACTGATTTTTTAAAAAATTGTTTCAAACTGGGGCAGTTAGTTTTGAATTAGGAGTAGGGGTAGTATTCTCTCCTTTGTTTCAACTTTTTAGTGATTATATATACATCTAGATTTTGAGTGCTTTTGAATTTTTAAACAACTGAGAAATAAGGTCCATATAATGAGAAATTACAGATGAAAAATTAATGCGGCTTCATAAGTATTAAATACTGAAGATATGAGAAAATGAAATTGTTAATTTTTTTTCACGTTCAGTAAGTATCCTTTTGCAACTGAGAAAAACCAAGCTGATTGTAAATTCATCTACTTGGTGAATTGGCTTTTTGGTTGTAAGTCTTCCCAAGTTAGGGTAACTGGCAAAATATTTATCAGCATATAATTAAACTGAAAGGTAGTCCTAAGGAAATCATCGTTAAAATTGAAAAGAACTTTAGAAACTGTCTCATCAGCACTCATTTTATAGATTAAGGGGCAATGTGACCAGACCCACCAAAATGAGAACACGTGAGCTGTTAGTTGAATACCTAATTTGTGCCAGAGTGCTTTATTTGCATTGTCTGTGATCTTCATGGTAGATATAAAGGGTAAATATTATCCCCATTTTACAGATGATGTTTAAAGAACTTGCACTTACTACCATAGGCAGTAAATGGCAAAGCTGTGGGGTTGTTTTTTCCCGTGTGTGTGTGTGTGTGTGTGTGTGTGTGTGGTGAGGTGTGGTGAATGTATGTCCATATGCTGATGGAGAGGGAGGAAAGAACTGTAATTAAAAAGTATGTCAGATTTTTTAATCAGAAGACCAAAATTGTACCACATGAGTATGCTTGAGCATTGTAAGAAATAAGCATATATCACCTGTTCAGGTTGACATGTGAAGTGTCATATTCTTATTCAATTCAAATGTATTTATTCCATATGTTCATTAACTAATGAGAATATATTTTAATTACACAATTTTTTTTTTGGTTTACTAGCAAGACGAAGATTGACAGCAGTGGGGTCTTCTTCCCCCACCCCGTATGGCATTTAAAGTTTATATGGAAAATGCAGTTACAAATAATAAAATCCTGAGATAACTGACATTTATTGCCTGATTCCATGATGGTCATGAAAGGAAATTAAAATGAGAAAACTCTAAAAGAAGAGCTGTACATATGGTTCTTCAAGGGGATTTTTAAAAATACTTTTTCGGGTGGGATTTCTCAGTTAACAGTGCATATTTTAGTATCAGTTGCTTTCTGAGACCAAAAATTCATCCCACATTGGCTTTTTAGAATGTGAATGTTATCTTTGATCTGGGCAGAGGTATAATTTTAATTGTGAAGTCTTGCTATTTAATTGTAATGTGCTGGATTGGGATTACTTTGGCATCTGTTGATGAGATACAATGAACTGGGGAACCAAAAACCTTGAAAGACAAGATAAAAAGGAGATGGGATTTTCAGATATGAACCTAGTAATTAAGATTTCATAGAATTGTTTAGAATGTTGTCTACTTCAGTATTTTTCTTCTCCCCCAACAGCTATAATAACACTATATTTGGCCTCTGAAGTTGTTTGCTTTTTTTTTTTTCATAAATCCCCAAACTTTTCATTCTTCTTTACCCCCTTGTTTCTTAAACACTATTTCACTTCTCATAAAAAATAAAAAGGTGATGCTTTTTGGCACACAAAATAACCTGGTGCACTTGAATGTATACAGCCAGCACATGGTATGATCCCAGCTATTGTGCAAAAATTCAAGGTAGTGTTCATTGTTGAGTTATATGTGTAGACTCAGGTGACCAATATCCTAATGGCAATCTGATATGATTGTCGAAAATTAAAAACAACAACAAAAAAAAACCCTCACAAATGTTAAGCAATACTATCAGTATCCCTCATTTGCATTTAAATGGAACATGTTATACTTTTAACATGTTTCAAGCAGCTAAATTAATAAGTCATCACTGAACTTCACCCAAATTTAGAAAGTCATTATCTCCAGTTTAGATTATTGCTTATTGGAAGGCTTTGCTTCTTCAGGGGAGGGTCACATTTTTGGTTCTCATTCATGGATTAGGTCATCACAGAAGGTGAGGTGTTTCTCTGTGTAATATATGTTTTTAGAGAACTGCAGATGGGAGGGTTTAGAAGCCACTAACGATTTCCAGTTCATTAGCACCTCCAAGTTCTCATGCCATCCTGTCTGCACCATCCAGGAGGTTCCAAAGTAACACGGTGTGCTACTTGTGTAGCAGTGCAGAAAATGTATTTTTATTTTTTCCTTAAGAACATGCTCTTGCTAGACCTAGGAGAAATGGAGCTGTGCGCATTCTTGGAAAAACCTATGTGGGAAACAAAAACTAATTAGAGCAGTAAATGTGATGCTCTCAGGTAATTGTAAAATAATT